AGGAGAAGGAGAGGGTGTTCTGGGAAAACAAGAACCCCACTCAGGATGTGGGGAATAACACGGGTTTGGATTGTTCGACCTCTCGTCTGATCACTGTTGGTGCATGTTTCTTCTATGTTTTACTTGTCCTCCGAAATCCGCCTGTAGGGGGGGCATGCCCGACCTAACGCCAGGTGTCGAAGAAGAGAAAACGCCATAAACATAAACTGTTGGCGCTCCGCGCAGTTCCCTTGGATCTGCGTTTGGATCCCCCTGGCGGCACCTCCGCGCGCCAGAGAGGGGGGACCAGCGCAGATCCAAGAAAACTGCGCGGAGCGCCAGAAGTTTATGTTTATGTCGTTCTTTCGTCTTCTAGACAGGCGCCCGCGTGGAGCCGAAAGAGTGGGGTGGCTTGACGCCAGGCGGAAAAGAGATGAGCTATATCGACTCGGATTGATCTAGGCCTCTCAGGTGGGGTCGGAGTGGATGGGGTCGGAGGATGGCGCCGCATCGCCGATGTATCGGCGATGCGGCTCGATATGGAGCCCGTGCTTCCGCACGCCGACGTCATCGATGCATCGCCTAGATCACCGATGCATCGCCGGTGCACCGCCGGTACATCGGCGATGCATTGGCGATGCGGCACAATTGTTCGACCCCATCTACTCAAACCTTATCTAGGAGACCTCTACTTGAGCCAAGGCGAGTCGAATTCAGCTGGACTGGGCTTAGCTGTGTCGGGCCGATGTCAAGTTCAGCTCATTTGGAGGATGTTCGGGTCGATGTTGGTCGAGTCAGCCTGGGTTGGGCCGGGACGAGTTGCGTTTGATCGGATATGTTCGAGACGAGCCGAACGGGGTTGGGTTGGGTTGGATTGATGTCGGGCTGTGGTGAGTGATTTCAGACGCGTTGATGCTGACCCCTCCAATGAGTCAGAAGGCGTCGCGCTCCATCGTTCTTGGCGGGTGTCGCTATGCCCCCTGCAGGCGCAGAGGGCTCGTGCAGTCAATTCTTCCCCCGCCCGCTCCTCGTGCCCGTGGCAAGGGGAGGGAACGGGAGGGGGCTCTTCAGGAGGCAAGGAGGAGGTGAATGGGCGGGCGAGACAGGAAAATGAAGCGGCGGGGAGGGAGGGCGAGAGAGCACGGGCGGGAGCAGGGGCGTGGGCGAGAGCCAAGAATGAGGATGGAAGGAGGGGAACAGGAAGAGGAGGAGGAGGAGGAGGAGGAGGAGGAGAAGGAGGAGGAGGAGGGGAAATGCGAAGAGGCTGAGGGAAGGAGGAGGAGAAGGAGGAGGAGGAGGAGGAGAAGGAGGAAGAGGAGGAGGAGGAGGACCTGTGCAAACCTAAGACGCACCAGTGATGTTGTGATGAACCCTCTTTCAAAGCTCTCTCTTCATAGGGCCCTACAAGCACTCATCTTCATTGCGGGAAATGCCCGGTTTGAAAAGCGTACGAGAGTCTTCAATCGTGCCAAAGCACCATTTGGGGGACTTGAGCGTCGCGAGTCAACATGATTGGTGCGTCCTGACGGTCCTAAATCGTGTCAGAACACCGTTCCTGGGACTTGAACACCGCGAATCAACATGACGGCTACGTTCTGACAATCCTACATTTTGCGTCCGAACATTATTTTGGGAATTTCGAGGCCTTGGAATTGCTGCTGACATTCAAACCGAATGAGCGCGACGCTGAGGCGAGAGCTACATGTTGAAAAAGAACCGCCCTTCATCCGTGAAACTGTTGGATTTGTTAAACGAATGTGCGCGGCGCTAAAACCAGAGTCACCTTTTGATAACGACCCGCCCTACATCCGCAAAGCTGCTGCAAACTTTAAGACGAATGTGCGCGTCGCCAAGGCAGGGGCCTCATTTTGAAACCAGCCCGCCCTCCATCTGTGAAAGTGTTGCGAATTTCAAATTTCAGGATCATGAATGGTGACGTCTCAGGCGAAACGCCCGTGCCGCCCTACCGACGCGTCTGGGGGTGCGGCAGGGAGGAGTCATTGATAAGGAAGGGGGATAGATGAAGAGGAGGAGTAGAAGGAGGCGGGGAGGGAGGGGGATGAGGGATCCACATGTCGACGCCAGGGGCGCGCGTTTGGGACTACGAGCCCGAGCAGATCGCTCACCTGCTCTCGCTGCTGAGGTGCGACCGGCTCCGCCTGGTGATCTCCGGAAAGGCGCGGTGTTGAGATAGTCATGGTCTTGTGACATTGTCATCTTCCTTCTTGGTCATCCTCATCCTCCTCACCATCACATGAATCGTCCTATCCACACCGTCTACATCACGCCTCCTCCTCCTTCCCGTAAAGATCAGAACCAGCAGCATCAGCACTACCATCATCACCATCATCACCATCATTACCATCAACTTCACGGCGCTTGCAAAGGAAGAGGTGGCATTGGTTGCAGTTTTGTGATAGAGGACCCTGTTGGCGTGGAGGTTCACCGGCTTCCTTACTGCAAGGTTGGCGATGGTAGCAACTGCGATGCCAAGCGGCACAGACTGATTTTCGGGATTGAGTTGTGCTTCAGACTGCGAATCACACGTCTTGCGATTGAGGTTAACAACGATGCGGTCATAAATCAGTGCTTGGGTATCTGGCATTATTGGGACGTCGCTTCGGCTGAATATCATCGCAGTGTCATGGCACTGCTGCCCAATGTCGGATCAGCTGAACTCCGACATGTTCGCCGGGCTCTTGACAGACGCGCTGACAATTTGGCAAATATTGGTATTGATCCTTGCTCTTGTGTCACACGTAGCGTCTTCCAGTTCTGTCGTTCGTGTTCTGTGTGTTGTCTGGACGCTGTCAAGCTTGGAACGGGCTACCTGACCACAGTCATTATCGACGGGGTCTCACACCCCCATCCGATGGCAACCCTTCACGCAGCACTGCTCCAGGATATTCAGGGCTTTTTCCAGATGGTACCGCGCCTTTCGTCCTCCACTTCAGGACCCAATCGTGCCTGTATTGTTACCGAACTCCTTGCCTTTCGCGATTGTCTTGGCTACTCGTCCTCGGCTGCCGGATCCGAGCGTGCCCAGATGGTGATTTTCCCACTGTTCGCGGTTCTCCTCCATATGACGTGACACGTGCTGAGCCTCGTTCCCTTGTTGAGCTTGCGCTCCTGCCCGAACAGGCGATGACGGAGTGGTTCCGCCACCTACGGCCCATCACCGTCCTGCCGAGTTTGCACCAGGCGTTAGGCGGCGCTGTCTTCTGCGAGTGGCAATTCGCGTACCGCCCAGGCCATAGCATAGTCGACCTAAACGACGTGCTCGGGATTATTGCTCTGAGATGCGCTCAGCGTAGGCTGGGTTTCGTATTGGTCAGTTCTGATAGGCCGAAAGCGTTCGATCGAGTCTGACACCCAGTGTTGCTGAGAAGCTTTTCGAAACGCAAGGTTGACCCAGCAGTTTGCGCATGGATTCTCCAGCGCATACGACAGACATCTCATCGAGTGCGGTTACATGGACGCCAAACTTTGACATCCCCGACCACGATATCGCTGCCTCAAGGTAGCAAGTGGGGCCTCAAATTCTGGACAGCTGTTTTGGAAGATTGCTTATCACATGTCTGGGATAAATTCCAGCACTTGCAACTGGATGCACAATCACCCAGTGCGCAGCGCATGGTGTGAAAGATTGCAAGACTTGCCATTTCAAGGTCGTGCCGTGCACCGTCACTTTTCCAAACAAGCATTTTCAGTATCGTTCATTGTGTTTGCGATGCACGCCGGATCTTCGACTTACTTGGCGCCGTTTTGAGCGATCACGAATTCGATCTCCCAGCAAGCACGGTGCGTTGTGTAAGCCAAAACCAGATTCGTGGCCGGAAACGAGATGCGAAGGTTAAGGCGTTTCCATGCGATTCGTTGGCATTTTCATCAACGCCAGTGGCCGCACCGGGGAGGAAATGCGGGTCAAATCGTTTTCCGCGCGGAGTGCCGTTGCTCAGTCGAAGTTGTCCTTCAAAGCATCTGCTCGGGAGCAGCGGCGTGGACTCATCAACCAGATTTTCGTGTCGACGACCACGTGGTCAGGTGGAGTGTGGACCTATAAGTAGCAGGCCGCTCAAAGTTGCGAGCAGTCCAGAATGGTGCTATGTTGCGGTACCGCCGTCTTCCTCGGCATCGCGGCGAAGCCGATGAGCATTTCTGTCGTGGACAGGCGCCGTCTGAAGGACATCAAGATCGAGAACGGCTTTGCTGATTTGGACGTGGGCGTTGCGCGGCACACATACTGATATGTCGGACACGTCGCCTTGCTCATGGACAGTTCCCCAGAGATGTTGTTATGCCAGGTATCGAGATGGAACTGACATTCGGAATGCCGTTTGAATGCGCACGAGGTTTCGGACAGGCAGAGCCATGGCCAGTTTTCGCCATAGCACTACAAAGAACATATGACGTCGTTTTTCTTCTCGCTGTATCAGATGGATCAGAAGGCTGTCGCATTAGATCGCAAATTTTGGAAGAGTTACGAGCCAGTGCGATTGCTTCACACGTTGGAAGCTATTGGATTGAAGGCTATCTGTTAGATCGCTTCGTCTGTTGGGGCCGATGGGGCACTGGTCTTTCAGAAGGTCGGTAAACAAAGAAACAAACAGCATCGCAATCAGTCTCCTCGTCCCAGTATTCCTCCTCATCGTTTTCGCTCTTTCGCTCCTGTTCCTCTTCCGCCTCCTCCTGTCTCCTCACGGCCAGAGGTCGCAGAGCTCCCCCAGAAGGCCTGCCCCCTATCCCTGCTCGAGCCGGCCTGAAGGCCCCTCAACGAGAGAGTTCCTGAGACCAGGGCCCTGGCATGGCGCATTCACAGCATCGACCGCACCCGATCAGGGCCTATTTCGATCCGACCGATCCGGTCCGACCTCGACTCTGGGTTGGCCCAGTCCGATTCGATTGTTGTTTTTCTGCGATCCGATGGGACCCGATGCTCGCATGGCGTGGGCCTGCATCGTGGCGCAGCCGGTCCCGTCCGATGCCCCAGCTCGGAGCTTGACTGGGCTCGCCCGCTCGCGACCTCTCGGAGCTTGTGGGCGTCGACGGGTATGCCCGCGAGGTCCCTTTTCGACAGAGCCCGTTATATTGTAGTGGCCTCCGGCCAGTGCCGCCGATCCGGGACGCTTCCGTTGCTGCCGGAAGCGCACAATGGTGGTCATGACCGGCGACGACGGCGAGCGGTGAGGATGATGATGAGGATTAGGAATGGAGGCAACGGAGCAGGATGAGGAGAAGGAGGAGGAGGAGGAGGATCATGTTGAGGTGGAGGTGGGTGGCCCGCGAGGCCCCTCTTCGACAGAGCCCGTTTTAATAGAGGGTTCTACTGGCGCCTGTCTAATTTTTCTGGCCGGCCCCCGCGGGGCCCGGCATTGCGCGTGGACACGTGCGAGAAGCAGGCGCAAGACCCCACGTCTACATGCGGCTCCCGCCCAGGAGCCAGGAGCTGTTCTCGCCCCCGTGTAGGTTGCCCGACTGGCACGTGGACAAATTAATTCCGCTACTCTTTCTCCTCCGTTTCCTCTCCCTCTTCCTCTTCGACCTCCTCCCTCCTCCTCCTCCTCCTCCTCCTCCTCCTCCTCCTCCTCCCCCTCCTCCTCCTCCTCATCATCATCATCATCATCATCATCATCATCCTTACCGTTACTATGATCGACAACAACAGCAACATTGTTCGATTATGTTCACACGCGTGTTATTCGAAATTTGTATACCAAAACCGTCGATACCCACCTTTTTCTGCTTCGAACGTACACCCTCTGGGGGGGGAGATCTTCCCTACCTGCCACCCGTAATTGGCGCAACCCCTAAAACAGTAAGGGGTAGAAGGGAAAGCGGGAAGGAGCGAGGATGACAAGAATGGCGGAAGGGAAGGGGGAGGGAAGGGACAAAGGGGGTAAGGGGGAGGAGGGAGGACGAAAAAGACTAGGACGGGAGAAAGGGAAAGGTGCACGAGAGAGAAAAGATGAAAGGGAGGAGACTAGCAGAGACGAAAGATCCAGAAGAGACAAGGACGAGAGAGATGCAGGTAAAGGACAAGAGAGAGGAGCAGCAAAGCAAAGACCGGACCCAGGCGGTCGGGTCGGGTGGATGGCGCGGGATGACACTAACGGACGGGTCGGGCGGGGGGGGCATCAAAGCGGCAGCGAGTGGCGACTCCGGGCCCCAGCGGGCGTTTCGGGCGAGCGGGCCAATAATTTTTTGAGTACATCGCAAGGAAATCTCAGTCAAGAACACGATTCCTGAGTAGCCTGCGAGGACGTCCCGAGCAAGAGCGCCATTACTAGGTAAATTGCAAGGAAGTCTCGAGCGAGAGAGCAGCTCCTGAAAGAACAGCAAAGGCTGTCTTGAGTAAATCGTCAGGAGGTCCCGGGCGAGAGCATGATTCCTGAGTGTCGAGGGCGCAACATCGGAATAGATCGCGAGGAAGTCCCACGTGAGGTCGCGATTCCTGGGCAAATTGCAAGGAACTCTGGAGCGGGAGCGCGATTCTTCAACAATGCGCTGGGAAGTACCAGGCGGGAACTGTCGTTGCTGCAATTCGGGGGCCAACGGCGCAGTTTGGAGACCCAAGGCTTCACCCGTGAAAAACGACAGAGCGAGCCGAGGGAGGGGCATTGCATTGAAAACAAGAGTACCACTGGAAGGGGGGTCAACCATTTCTCTTTTTCAGAAATGAAAATGCAACAACAATATCAACATCAGCATGTTCATCACCAATACCAGTTTCTTCGGAGTCAGGGCGGATGCTGGAAGTCTGGGCGCGCACATGAGGAGTAGATGAAGCGGGATCAAGGGAAAAAAGAGAAGGAAGACGAGGAGCGGGTAACTGCAGCACAGAAGCATCGGCGGCAGCAGCAGCGCCGAGGCACCCGCCCCTCTCGGGGGCAACGATTGGGAGGGAATAGGCATAGAGGGGGGACGCATCGACCCCCAATCGCACACTGATCGCCGATCAGGGCCCGATGGCCCCAGCCTGCACAGGAAGTTGCGGATTCGCTACCGGGGGCCCATCGCCGATCTATCGGCGATGCATCGCCGATGCCAGGTTGATGCATCCACCCCTATGCCAGTCCCCCCCTGTCGTTGCCCCTCACCCCACAAACAGTCCCCCCTTCTCGTTGCCCCCATCCCCTACCGTTGCCCCTCACCCCCTATCGTTACCCCTCACCCCCTA